AACTTCTGCATCAACTTTTATTTTATATAATAATTTTATATAATTTTTTAAAGGCAGATGTGTGTTTACTTTGAGAAATAAAAATGTTAACATTGAAACTGAAAGCCTGTTTCAGTTTTAAGGTACTTAATTGCCTTACAGCATATAATAAACCGAGGCCATCTTGTCCTTCAACTAATGGAGGGAGTGATAAAGAGATAGGAGCCCGGGACCCTATTCATTCCAGTTTTCCTTTGTACTTGGTTTACTTTGGCACCATGCCTTATGTGTATTTTACACTTCTTTACATTTTGTACATCCCTGTATGACAAATACTTGTCAAACAAAAACTAAACAGATTTATAACCCCTTAACTTGAAATGAGCCAAAATTGAACTGCCAAAACTTTATGACTTCATTTTCTTTCATAGTTTTCCACTACATTGGTTCAAACAGACAAACCCCACTTGAGGTCAAGCAGAGGTCATTTCACTTTCATTACTAAAATATAATTTACAATATGCCAGACCTAAACAAGTTTAGCCTAAAGGGTTTGTATAATGTAAACCATCTGTTCCTCAACAATACAGCTAATTTCCTGCCGTCACCGTACAGTCTACTGACTGCTTCTTTAAGGGTTTTTATGATTTTTTAACTAGTTCAGGATTTATGTAAAATTTGAAAATGAGTCTATAGTTAGGACTCATTTGTACCAGGTAACTTGAGCACCTTAAAAATGCAAATCACTGTGGAAATCGTTCCCCTGAAACCAAGCTAGGAGCATTTTTTTTTCTGGGCACTTCTTTGCTGGCAGCTGCACAGGTGTTCGAAGGGAAGATTTTGTGGACTCTGCCATTTTAGAAGATTTCCATGCCTCTTTGCAAAGCAAACCCCCCCAAATTTAGTTTTCAGTAGCTCTAGTAAATGACTCCTTGGAGAAGACTTGGGATTATATGCTATATGGCCCACTGGATATTGGTGAGATAGGACAAGATATACTTCGGGGTAAAATCTACTTTCTTTCATGTGTCTGAACAGGGAGAAAGAACAATTATAATTCCATAGAGTGACCACATACTGAAGGCCAACCTCCTAGCCCTGCAAGGTGGCAGGCCTCAGGCTGAGCCTCCAGAGACATTCGGCTTCAATCTGGAATTGCTGGCCAGCAGGCTTCTCTGGTTTCAAACAGAATGCTGTGGCCCAAAACAGAGAGCCTTGGAGTTGCAAGTGTGGCTGTTTCGGCTCTCCTGAAAATTCTTGATACTTTCTTTAGCCCCTTTCTCCATCTGTAAAATGGCAAAATTAAGCGTTCTTTTTCCAAAGGCAAATATATGAGAACAAATGTGCTTACCTCAGTGGAGGGGAATGCAGCTGGTGTTAGCCATGAAGCCCCAAGGCCATGTGTAGGGCTGGTGCCAAGGTCCCGTCCACCTCTTCCTCTTTTCCCACCTCCAGAAGTTTGACTGGCTTACTTCCTTTTCCCATCTGCTACCATCCACTTTTCTACATGAATTCTTGTTGCCTTCACCTTCATTCACATCTCAGAGGAGCCAGCCACAGGCCACTCAACTTCTCACCTACCCTCAAGCTCCAAAACAAATTCTCTGTCATTTTTAAAGCTTTTTTTTTTTTTTTTTTAAACTAACAACTGCAGGAGAACAGAGAAAGATTAACAGGAAGAAATTTAAATACTCTGGAACTACTTAAGGCTTAAATGGATCTAAATTATTTGCATTACTTTACTTCATGGATGACTTTCCTAAGGACAATAAGAATGATTTAAAGAGCACTTATTAGGTGGCAATTACGTTCATACATCATTGTATTTAATTTCTACTGCAACCGCGCAAGCTAGATAGTACATTATTTCATAGATATGGAAACAGAGGTTCAGAAAAGTTAAGAAATTCACCCAAGGTCAGTGATTAATATTATAGGGCCTATGCCACAGGATCATGGTGTTAAATAAGTTAATATTTGCTAAGTGCTTAGAACAGTAACTGGCACAAAGTAAGTGCTATGTAAGTATTAACTATTATTAATAGAAAGCAGCAGATTCAAGACGCAAACCCAAATTTATAGGAGTCCAAAGCTCACTTGGTTTGAATTATACCATACTGCCTATGGATTTGTTTCAAGCAGTGAAGGAGGAGAAGGTATTGGGTTTCTAACTCCTCATTATACCAGTCTAATATTCCATGAGTTTACTTCCTAATTCCCATTTTCCACAAAGAAGTTTCAGTACTCAGTCCCTTAAACTTCTCTATCTCCAAAAGCCTAGAGATCTTATTTTTGTCAAAAAGTAAGTGATATCTACTGTGCCATTCAGGGGACCTTCACCTAAACTGGATTTATTTACATCATTAGGAAAAGTTCTGATGGAAATCTCCAATCTTAACATCATGCAGGAAAAATTCACTTTGGGTTACTCTTGCCAGCAAAAGTAAAATCTTCCGAGCGCTACAAGACAAAAAAATAGGGTTGGCTCGACTGGTTACCTTTCTCATTACCCACGCCTTGCTCTCTCAAAGGAATTCCACGAGCTCCCACAAGAATACAGACCCTAAAAGCAAAAGCAAAAATGGTGGATGGACTTGTAATTGCAAAAGGTATTTCCTAGTTCAGTAAGATGGGAAGATTTCCCTGTTTTTTTAAAAAAATTAATTAATTTTGAGCATTGTTAATATTTTCACCTGGTTGAAAAATTTCAAAGCATAAAAAAGCATGAAGTGAAAAATCTCTTACTTCTGCCCCCTTTTTCCAGTTCCTACTTCCATACCCCCAATAATCACTGCTATCTATTTCCCAAGTATCCTTTTATAGTTTCTTTATGCTTATACAAAGAAATATATTTCATGTGTTATTTTTCTCCTTCTCTCTTACACAAAAGCAGCACCCAGCATTAACTGTTCTGTTGCTTTTTATTTTTAGCTGAGCAAAGGATTTTGTAGACCTTTCCATATCAGTACATAGGAAACGTCCTCATTCTTTTTTTACAAATGTAGAATATTCTATTTACTAGCTCCACCGTAATTGATTTAATGTGTTCTCTATGGGGACATGGAGGTCATTTGTAATATTTTGCTGTTACAAACAATACTATATTGAATAGAACTAGATCAATAAGCTTTAATTTGCTGAAAGTTTAAAGCAACACATTACCATTACTTTCTGTACAAGTAAACTTTCTAAAACTCATTTCCAAATATAAACCTCATAAAGTCTGCTTTGATGAACAAATGAGACCAATTTATAATGAGACAGATTATTTGCATAGAATAATTAATGTTCTAAAATCCCCAATCCCAATTTGTCCTTTTAAGTGGGTATTTTGCTGCAAGTTTATTTACACTTACAATTAGGTTAGTGGGCATTTTGCCCTGGAAAATATCAGCCTAGAACAAATCTAATTACCATGAATTCTAAATTAGCAGAGTTTGGATAAGAGAATTTTTTTACCAAATTTTCTAAACTGTTGTTTTAAACTCTGTACAGAGAGCTCTGGATTTCATATGTATTTCAACATTGTCAGTTTCAATTAGAATTTTCAGGGTAGTATTCTTTTTTAAAAAATAAGGATTTCAAGGATGGGGATTATTTGAAAATCAGTTATATGTAAAATGCATTGTTTTTATTACTTTCTTTTCTAACAAATTAAATGAAACATCAGACTAAATTTGAGGTATATTTTAAAATAGTAAAAACATATGACATTATAGACATTTACTTGCCAAGATCAAATGTCATGATTCAATACTTATTTTCATTGTGAGCTAGATGCCTTCACCTGTCTGTCTTAAGGTCAATTAATAAAGAACCCACTTGAGAAGCCCTAGGGATATACGTTGGTATGAAGGGCAGTGCTTCCAGTAAGATTTCCCTTGAAATCTGGTTGTGAGGACAAAATATGTGCATAAAAAGAACAGAAACATCAAGTTGATGATAATAACAAAAGGTTAAATAGTACTTATCATGGGCCAGACATAGGTCTGAGTATTTTACAAACATTAACTCATAGGTCTGAGTGCTTTACAAACATTAACTCATTAAAAGTTTGCAATAACATGGTAAGTACAATTATTATCATCCCATGTTATAGATGAAGGAATTGAGGCACGAAGTTAAATGTTGTATCCGGGGTCACATAGCTGGTAAGTAGAGAAGGCAGGATTCCGACTCAGACTGTCTGGCTATGGAGGCCACGTGTGTAACCAGCCACCACACTGCTTTGTGTGTGTGGTGGCATTCACAGTAAAGGCAAAAGATTCTAGCAAAGAAATGACCATAGTGGTCAGGGAAGGTTTTGCAGGAAGTGGGGCCTGAAACAGACTTTTTAGAAAAGAAAGGATTTAATCAATGGAGAGGACCACATTTTAGACCTTCCCATCTCTATTGTGAGTACTTCAGAAGGACAATCTTTTGTGTTGGTTTCTCTTTTTAGCACAATAAATATTCTAAGAATGGCAGAACATTGGAGGAACAAAAGTATTACGCAACAATGTAAATGGTTTCGGGGGTGGACATTGAGAAAACCTGTTTAACTAAAGAAGTAGCAAGGGATCATGTCAGGAAAGTGAGTTAGGACCAGATTACAAATGCTCTTGAGTACCAGGCTGTAGCCTCTGCGGTAGTGCTTCTGACACCCTAATCTTCACAGAAACCACAGGGGTCTTGCTGATTCAGTAGGTCTGAGGTGGGCCCAAGAGTCTGCATTTGCAGTAAGTTTGGGTGATGCTGATGCTGCTGGTCCCCAGACCACAGTTTGAGTGCCAAGACTCTAGACAACAGCAAGAAACCATTTCGGGGCTGGGTTGAGGGAAGGGGATAGGGTAGTGATGGAAAGTTGCCTATGGCACCTCCCCTGAGTTGCAGCCAACAATTTGAAAGATATACAGACCTACAATATTTTATTTAATTTGTTTATAGAACCTTTTTCTATATGCCCCATCCCTCCTTTCAGATGCAAAGCTGTCTTGCCTGAAGAAATATTTTAAACCACCTTTTTCCTCTCTTTCATACAGAGCAAGGCTAAAGAGCTGCCTCTTTCTGCTGTACGCTTTATGGAAGAATTGGGTGAATGTGCCTTTGGAAAAATCTATAAAGGCCATCTCTATCTCCCAGGCATGGACCATGCTCAGCTGGTTGCTATCAAGACCTTGAAAGATTATAACAATCCCCAGCAATGGACAGAATTTCAACAAGAAGCCTCCCTAATGGCAGAACTGCACCACCCCAATATTGTCTGCCTGCTAGGTGCCGTCACTCAGGAACAACCTGTGTGCATGCTTTTTGAATATATGAATCAGGGGGATCTCCATGAGTTCCTCATCATGCGATCCCCACACTCTGATGTTGGCTGCAGTAGTGATGAAGATGGGACTGTGAAATCCAGCCTGGACCATGGAGATTTTCTGCACATTGCAATTCAGATTGCAGCCGGCATGGAATACCTGTCTAGTCACTTCTTTGTCCACAAGGATCTTGCAGCTCGCAATATTTTAATCGGAGAGCAACTTCATGTAAAAATTTCAGACTTGGGGCTTTCCAGAGAAATTTACTCCGCTGATTACTACAGAGTCCAGAGTAAGTCCTTGCTGCCCATTCGCTGGATGCCGCCTGAAGCCATCATGTATGGCAAATTCTCTTCCGATTCAGATATCTGGTCCTTTGGGGTTGTCCTGTGGGAGATTTTCAGTTTTGGACTCCAGCCATATTATGGATTCAGTAACCAGGAAGTGATTGAGATGGTGAGAAAACGGCAGCTCTTACCATGCTCTGAAGACTGCCCACCCAGAATGTACAGCCTCATGACAGAGTGCTGGAATGAGATTCCTTCCAGGAGACCAAGATTTAAAGATATTCACGTCCGGCTTCGGTCCTGGGAGGGGCTGTCAAGTCACACCAGCTCTACTACTCCTTCGGGGGGAAATGCCACCACACAGACAACCTCCCTCAGTGCCAGCCCAGTGAGTAATCTCAGTAACCCCAGATATCCTAATTACATATTCCCGAGCCAGGGTATTACACCACAGGGCCAGATTGCTGGTTTCATTGGCCCACCAATACCTCAGAACCAGCGATTCATTCCCATCAATGGATACCCAATACCTCCTGGATATGCAGCGTTTCCAGCTGCCCACTACCAGCCAACAGGTCCTCCCAGAGTGATTCAGCACTGCCCGCCTCCCAAGAGTCGGTCCCCAAGCAGTGCCAGTGGGTCGACTAGCACTGGCCATGTGACTAGCTTGCCCTCATCAGGATCCAATCAGGAAGCAAATATTCCTTTACTACCACACATGTCAATTCCAAATCATCCTGGTGGAATGGGTATCACCGTTTTTGGCAACAAATCTCAAAAACCGTACAAAATTGATGCAAAGCAAGCATCTTTGCTAGGAGATGCCAATATTCATGGACACACCGAATCTATGATTTCTGCAGAACTGTAAAATGCACAACTTTTGTAAATGTGGTATACAGGACAAACTAGACGGCCGTAGAAAAGATTTATATTCAAATGTTTCTATTAAAGTAAGGTTCTCATTTAGCAGACATCGCAACAAGTATCTTCTGTGAAGTTTGACTGTGTCTTACCAAGCAGGACAGACACTAGGCCAGAAAAAAAAAAAAACATTGTGGGATGTACACTCCATTGGAGTGCATGACATGGCATTGGGATTGGAACATGTGGTTTCAAGTACTGAAAACTGCACACCAGTGAAGAGAAAAAGAATCTTGTGATTAAATATAAAACCAAAAGTCAAATGGTGCTTTGTGTTTTAGCCTTCAGTCACCATGACTGGTCTCTCCCCCAGATGTATATATACCATAGCATTTGTCTACCTGCTGTCTTTTCTTCAGGACGGATGTTCAGGAATTATATTGATTCGGTTTAGACTCTGCGCATGTTCTTATGGAAATGATGTTCAGAATCAATGAAGAAACTTCAGGCCAAATTTGAAACCCTGGAGGGAAATGAGCCATAAGACAAGTATAACAAGCCCTGAAGCCTTCTATGTCGTTGGGCTTCTTTGAGAAGGTGTAGAGTGTGCCTTTTTGTGAATCCTCCTCTGATCATGAGGGTCTTTCCCAGATTTTCTCACAGTGTGCTTACACTGCCCTTGGAATAACACAGGGCATCAGACCATAAAAAGGCTAGATGTGGATGCTAGAATTGATTGTTGGTTGATAGTTCACTTTGCTGGATTAGGAATGAGGCGCCAAAGGAAGCACAGCCAGGAAAATGGCCCCACAGCCTAGATCAGTTTCTGTGGGAAAGGAAAAAGGGTTCCCATGGGGACAGCCCCCAAAGGAGTTTTCTGGAACCAGTAACACTGAAAAATAAGTGTGTGGCTACAGATGAGCACACCCACCCCTTGCAACTCCCTGTTTACAAGTTGTCTGAGGCATTGGGGTGCTTATGGTCAATGGACTCTAGGGAAGTAGGAAACTCCATCATGATACCAATGTCTAGTAATTTTTAAGTTTCTCTCCCTTTTTTTCTGTGCTGGTAATGATCACAGATTTGATTCCTGCCCCAAGAATTACAACAATTTATTCATACAGTTAGTTGGAATCCAAAGGCAATTAATTCTATTTTGCAAAATATGATGGTCTTCCTAAAAAACAAGTACTGAGTTCTCATTTCAAAAGTTACCAAGAACTGAATTCTTTAAACTAGCAAACAGAAGCAACATGACCGTTTTTGCCTTAGTGGGAGGTTTCAGATGTGCAGCTTGTGGCATTTACCTGCCAACCATCTTTTGCCAAGTTTAGAATTCTTACGCGTTTCAAGTTCTATATAGAAAGTAATTTTACTTTTGATTTTTTTCTTGTTAAAAAAACCCTCCTTTGTTCTAAGAACAGTGTCTCAAAGTCTCATTTTTACTTTAAAGGTATAAGAGACTTGTAAAGAGACTTACAGGATATAAAAGTAATTCCCGGAAATGATATTTGATGAGGAGAATATAAGAGAATTAAAAACACATTGATGTTTTCATTTTTACAAAATACAACTTGCATGAGAAATCAAGAAAATATGTTTACCAAAATGCATTGCAATTTTCCCAAACCTGAGTCTTCAAATAACAAACATGAACTTACAGGTACTGTGAACTCGAAGAATTGGCTATATCCAGATTTCTGGGAGATAAATTAAGACCTATTTTTGTGGCATAAATAAGCTGATTCAGAAGTTACGTTTCTTAACTTTAGGTAGAGGAGAATATTTGTATCCTTTTGTTGCTATGCAACTGTTTAATGATGAAGCTTCAAACCACAATTTTGTATATCATATGACAATCAATTGTTTTCCAAGAATATTTATTATTTTAAGTACACAATTTCAGTGAATCTGAGTTTTTCTAGAAGTCCCTTAAAGGGAAATTAGCATTCCATGAGCCAGTAAAATACCTACTCTGGTAAAACATTATTATGGTTAAAAAGTAAATTCAAGTTAGTTTTTTATAAAGAACTATAACATTTATTGTAAACATTTTATAATAACTGAAAACATTAAAGTGAGCAAATGAAATTTCAAAACCACTTGTAATAATGTATTTTATAATCGCACTGTGATACTATATAACACAGTCTCTTTTGTATTAAAATAGTATTTTTTTCACAAACTGAAAAATATCTTTTCCTTTGCCGACAATGTTTTGTAAGATGACTTTGTTTTCAGATCTTTTTCTCTTTTTTTGCACAAAACTATGCTTATGGTTTGTGTCACAGAAGTGAAAATATATCTTTGCATTTTTATATCTGGTCTGTTTTTCTTGTTTCCTTTGTTTTTAACTTGATATAGATTTTCTTCAAATATATAACGGCAATTTTCAGATATCTCACCCTACCATATCTTTCCTTATTTTCACTGCATGCATTTAATCACTGTATTACTTAATGTTTGATTTGTTATTATGGGCATTTCAAATAGACAAACATTGAATTGTAATGACAAAAAGGCTATTTTATATTAAGGATATATTCATTTGTATTTCACACACCAGAGATGATATTAAACACTGATTATTTTATGCTGCTGTTTATTAAAAATGTTTACTATAAAATATTATTTCCTGAATATTACTGTCATAGAGGTATTTGGGAATTTTAATATTTACATTTTATAGAAAGAGAAATCACAATTCCTCTTTGCTGTTATTTCATTAATTTTTTTTTTCAGTAGGCTTTTAAAACAGACTTGGGCATTATTTTGCTAACAACCATAGGTGGAGAGGGGAATCCTAATGATTTCATAACTGAATACTATCCACCTATATATGGCAAGTTTTGAATTTTTAAAATCAAAATAATATATTGAATAGTTACAACCAATGGAATATAAAAAATGTTTGATTTTAAGAATACAGTTGCATCATTTTCTGCCTTGATGCAAATTAAAGTCACGAGATGACACTGATATTTCCCATTCTTTAGTAAAGATTAAAAACCTGAGAGCACCCAACATGAGTGAAGGTGTATTCAGATGGGCATGCTTGGCCTTGGCAGGTGGGCATGTGAATTGGCCCAGCCTTTCTGGTGGTAATTTGGTTAATCTACCAATGCCTTAAAAACGTTAAGGCTGGGCATGGTGGTGCACATTTGTAGTCCCAGCTACTCAGGAGGCTGAGGTGGGAGGATTGCTTGAGCCTAGGAGGTCAAGGCTGCAGTGAGCCATGATCAAGCCACTTAACTCCAGTCCGAGTGACAGAGTGAGACCCTGTCTCAAATAAAATAAAATAAAAATAAAAATAAAAATAAAAATGTTTATATCCTTGAATCTAGAAATTCCACATCTGGGGATTAATCCTAAGGCAATCATTTTCTTTTTATTTATTTATTTATTTAGGCAATCATTTTCTTATCCCACTCCTCCATACAAAAGGCTATTAACCTTCTGAGCTAGAGCCAGCTCATTCTAGCTCTTGAGAGATGAGTGTTAAGTATTCTGGACAATTCACCAGCCAGTTGTTAGACTGTTGGTAGCTTGGCCCCGACACGGTGCAATATTTACACCATGGGCATCGGCAATGGCTACAACTCAGAGCTCTGCATTTTTCTGGAAAGCTGGTTTGTCAGCTCACGAGACACTCACCCACCATGCTATTCTGTAGCCACTCACTCATCTGGACATCCCAGTGAAGACAAGGTCCAGTGTGTATGTGAGGTGGACACAGCAGGCTGCATGCTGCGGATTGTGGAGAAAATGGAGCGAGTGTTGGAGTATGTGTGTTTAGATGTGTGTGGAAAGCCTCTTAGAGGAGACACAGTGCCCAGGACCAGCTGCTGCCTCAGGATGCAAAGGCAGTGGGAATGAACGAGAGAAACTCACTTTTTCTACATATCCTTTTGTAGTCTTTGAATTGTTTCCATGTTCCAAATTTTTTAAATGCAAAAGACAGTAAAAAAGAAAAATCTTTTTTCACAATTATGTTCTTCTTGTTGTGAGTTGTTTGTGAATGTGAAAAATGAGACAACATAGCTGTCCATGTAAAAGGGAAGGTTGAGTAAATCCCGCAGGGTGGCTCCCGGCTGGGACACCATGGGCTTATTACAAGTGGGTGTTCACAATTATTATCATAATGGGGAAGCTGCTACTGAGTTTACTGCAATAAAGCCTATTAGATAGTTGTATACACAGTATTATCTTGATTGCACAAAAAACCCCCCAAACACATTGGTGGGAAATATTCCAAACCATATACAGTGTGTTTCTGGTTAGTATTGTTATGAACAATTTAAATTTTCTTTTGCATTTTT